CAGAGAACCATCGTCATCACTGCGGGTTAGCCACCATTACCCTCAATACGTCTTTTTGTTTCGCTCGTAAATTCTAGCAATCCGTGCAATGAATCTCAATTTTCGAACCTTTTCTACAAGTAAGGTACGAATTTATGTGATTTTCTATTCAACGTTGCTGAAATATATGCTTGTCTTGATCAAATCTAACAACTTGTGCATTGTATTATATAATACAATTCACGAGTAAACGCACAAAAAGCTATAATTAAATTGAGCCATCCTCGAGGGTATGATTCAACATAAAGTAACTCGATATAAAACGTGAGCATGACGTGTAATTTATTATACAAAAAATATGCCGCATTATTATACTTTTATTTAAGCGTAATCCAAATTCTACATTTCTTTTTCTTTCTTTTACTTTCTTTCCTTTTTCATTGTTCTCGCAATACTACGAATACTATTTATAGAACATCGATAAATGTATTTTATGATGGCGATGCGATAACAAAGAATAATTTTTTTCATCGTTAGTAGCAATTAGTGCAATGAGTTCCGATCGTGTCCAGCGATGACATCGAAAGTGAATTTAAAGGGGAATAACGCGAGCGAAGTTTTACAATCTTCTTTTTCTTCCTCGTTTTTTGTCGCCGCACGAGGAAGCCTCGGTAGAAAATTGCATCGTATTACTTGCCATTCGATGACCTGAATGTAGGTCTTACAGAATTACAAGCATTGCGTGAGCTCGGTATCGATCGCGTGCAATCGACAAAAAATCAAAATTAGTGCATGCATGTCTCACGCGCGAAACGTTCTCTTTCATGAAGAAAAAAAAAAAAGAATGGCATACCGCTGACAATAACAGAGTTGCTTCGTGTCTACTGTTAATCGAACTAATCTCTTTCGCATCATACTTAGTGGTAAAATTAATTTATTAATAAATGATAAGATAATAGAGATTACAATTTTCTTAAAATCAATTAAAAATATAATCATTAAAAAGATATTATCGCATTTTTTCTCTTTAGCTATAAGTTTACTTTTAATAAATTTAATTAATTAATATTTGCAATATTTTTATAGCAATTTTTAATTATTTAGTAAAATTATTACAGCATCACAGATCATATACCGATGGGACCGATGTATCGTCGATTAATTTAACGACTAATTGCGCAATATAGTAACAGCGCATGAAATTCAACCTTCCACCTTTGATCGAATTCTATTTTCCTCAACTTCGGTACTAATAGGAAGGTTGTGCTATCCTGGATTACCCCATATCGCTGCATCTACGATCGCTCCTTTTAATTAAAAGCTGGTCGAAGTTGCGCTCCAGGTTGTAATTGAGGCCGATTTTGTCATTCGGGTTTCGATGGGTTCATCTTCTCTCTTCATGGGGAGTCCGCCCTTATTCAAACGTGTCAACTTAGTCATATTATATGACGCATCCGTGTGCACATGTGAACGATGGAGTCGAACACGCTTACCGGGTCGGATCAATAACTCCAGGAATGGGCACTTGCCGGCTGGCAAAGCTGCGGAGCAGCCTGTTTCTGGTTTTCCAGTCGGAAACGAAAGCGGAAGTGGCCGACGTGCTTAGGAATTCCACCCAGATGTACTCTCGTGATACTTTTCTCGCGAGAATCCACAAATTTGAAAACGGAACGGTCGCATCTTCTTCAAGAATAGCTCGATTTTATCCAGGGCGATTAAACGGCGACTATCTTTATAGCAATTTTTCAACTTCAAAGATTTATATGCATCTTGAAAAACTTATCAACTTTTGAATTATTTTTATTAACATACAAAATAAATTAAGAATGTAATAACATGCAAAAATAAATTAAGAATGTAAAACAAAATTTTTTTCATAAAACTTTGCTTTCAGAAAAATTGGCTTTAAATATTTACCAGGTACGTGAATCTCGACTTTAATGAATCTCGCTGTAGACAACAATCTCGGCTCGTGTTTGTGTTTATTGTATTAGATAATCGAGAGTGCACAACAAAACAGGATATTTATGCACGATGAATTTGATTACTTTATAAATTGTTGAAGATATTGTTCGAAAACAATATGTTTCATATGAAAAAAATTTATTTTACGTTTTCAACTTAATTTTTCTCATAGATTCACCCTTTTCTCAGGTGTATCATAATTTTTTAAACATCCTATATATACTTTTTAACAATTTTTATATAACTTATCGTATTTATATATATTTGATAAAACTAACGTATTTATATATATTAATTTGATAAAATATATGTATTGTGAATACGCTAAAGGTATTCTCTTTCATAATTCCCTTCGATTTAAATTTTTAGAATATGCAGTAATCACGATTGCCGGTCGTAAAGCAAGATACACAGTTTGACAGAATGAATTGCTTTCTCTGGTGCAGTTATTTCTAACGATCCGATATATTACTCCAGCCACGTGTTCGCTGTGATAGAGTTCGCGTAAAATTCCCACCGTGTGTTATATAGATTTCTCCATCTTGGCAATTAGACAGACGAAGAAATAAAAATATATCTGACGAAAATATTTTTTTGGAAATCTTTATGTTCTTTCTTGACAGAACACGTTTTTTTGGAAGAGGGATAAAAAAAGAGGAGACCTTGTAGATATATAGATTAATGAAGAGTAATGTCGAAATACCCAGAAAAATAATCGCAAATGTAACTAAAATCGCACGCAATGTACGTAACTTATGATAAACTATTTTTTACTTGAATGAGATTTCATCGGGCACTTAAACTATTATATTTATGCGTGCGAAATGTTATTTTAAGGTTTATTTCGTGTCTCCGACCGAGTTAATTACTCACAGCCACGATGACGTGATCAACTGAAAGTAATTTGATCCACTTCTAAGTCACATACTGTAAATTGAAAGTAAAATTCATAGTTTGGTGAAAGCTTTTATCTCTGTCAACAAATTATTCCAACCTACTCTAGAAAATTATTTTTAATGGAATTTATTTCTAGAATCTAACGACACCCTACGCCTTTTTAAATAGATATTCGTATTGATTTAAATGAATTTTCCTATTTGCGACAGAAATTATTCTAATTTTAAACTGATGCGCAATCTTGAAGATAAGTATCGTGAAACAATGTGTTATATATCCGTAAGGATGACTGAAAACATTTACTTCGAGAACAAAGTCAATGTTGAATCCGAACTTAAACTCGAGGCTGACGTTCCACAATGATGTCATAGCACAATGATTAATGATCAACGGAACCGCGAGAAATTATAACGATATATAGAATCTAAAGATCGATACACGTTTCCGATCTGACGATTGCAAGATATAATTGTTAGGCCCGCACAAGAAACGTTGCTCCTTTAGTTACCGCTCCTAAACACGGACTTCTTGTCTCGTGGAGTAATTTTACAATGTTACCAAGGTTAATCGATGTAGATCCACAGCAATACGATCTGTTTCGTAGCTCCGCGCCAGTTATGATCGTTCGCGTGTCTACCTCCGTTTATGTTCAGCTCAACCACTTTTACCTTCTACTCCTTAAGGTCTACGTCGGTCGAAATCACGCTTATGGTTGTACGCAGTTAGTCGTGATATATCGTATGTACATGAGGGGTTGTAGTTGTAAGGTTCATTGTTTGAAAATTGGTTGTTTGTTTTTAATGTATGAAGAATAAATTGATGAGATTTTTTTTAAACAGAATGCATTTTTATTCTCGGACGTCACGTTTGTAGCAAATAATAGTATTTTAATATTAATAATTCTAAATTTTTTAATAGAAAACTTGATTTCGCGTAAATGTTCCAAACTTTATCGAATATTTTTCATACGAAAATTAAGTTTGAACAGTTTTGTTCATAAAGATAAGAAGAAATCTTTTTAATGATTAATAAAAACAGGCGAAATATTTTTTATTTTTATTTAAAATTGTTCAAAAAAGTTTTATTATTTAATTAATTTTTTTATTTTTTAATATTGTCACATTATTAAACTGAAGTATCTAATTGATTACGCACATTACTGCACTGAGAAAAATTTCTGGTTGAAAATGAATAAATCAGAAGATTCTAGTCATATCAAGTAGAATTCTTTTTGTCTCAATTAGAATTATAATCGATTCAACCAGAAAATTATGATTTATTCTATTTTTAACCAATTAATGCAACCAGATTTTGTCCAGTGTTCTATTCACTGATAGAGTACTCGCACTTGTAAAACACCGTTGGTAATTGCTGTCGGTTTGATTGCTGTAATCTCGTCGTCATAGCACATAATATCTGTGGCACGTAGAGAACAGGTTGTAATTTACAATTGAAAGCTGTCGTCATTGCACGCATTGTAGGATTATACCGAAATAGACACATATATACAATTCTGTCGAATATCATATTTTGGCTATGAATTATTCATTTAAATGTCGGAGACTTTTAGATATTCTAATTTCTGATATGTTAATAAGTATTGTGAAAAGATAATATATACATATATATTAAAAGAATTCTTCTGAAGTAATGAATCCATAAAATCTAAATAATACTACGGAATAGAATGTGTAATACAATTTTTCTCCATTAGCTTCTCCATTGATTTTATATTAATTATTAATTTGTTTTACAACTAATATTTATTAATTATTCTTATAGTTAAAGATAAAAAATTGTTTTTCCACATTTTTCCTATGTTAAATGTAAAATTTAAATTAGAGCTTTCCGTTAACTCTCTCTCTCTTTTTGGTACAAAACGTATTCTCTTCTGGCACATCTCCGATATCTTCTCCGTCGCTTTTATCACGTCGTAATTCAGTGTCTCTAGTAGTACGAGACAAAAGTAGTCTTCGTCTGACACGCTGCGACATTCATTCACATTGTAGTCGACAATGATGTCGATCACTTGGTTCGTGAACTTTCACGAAGACTCGTTAGTCACATGTTTACGCAACAGGTTTACGGGGAACCATATTGACCAAGGAGAAGTTGAGGTATACCCCATAAGAGTACGTGAAAGAAATCGATATGGATTCGCAGCAAACCGCGAACAGTGTGGCCGAACCTGCTTCGAGCCACGGAGAAACTATGGTAAGCAACATAGGACGAGATACATAAAATGAGATACATGAAACACATAGGGCGATTATTAACAAGAAATCCAAAAGATGACAGAGATTATATCTTTATATATCTATCATATGATATTTAATACTAATAAACCAATAAATGAGCTCGATCTCGTTACGATTAAAAAATTGCGACTTCTTTGGAAGACAAAAATAAAGATCTTACTCGTAAACATAACGCTGATAGCATCCCTCGAAGCGAATTAATCGCGAAGTCAAGTCGTTCGTGGCTCGATCCTATAATGAGTCGAAAACGGTGGCAGGCACGGTGAAAACGGCATGACGAGACGTCACCGACCCGCATTATCAAAAGATCGATAAAACTCAGGGCCACTATTTCGCGAATTTCGACTCTCTTTAGCGACTGCAGCTCTCTTGCGGTTTCTACATTGTTATCGTCGTACATTTTAGCGTTGTGCGGATTAGCTTGCAACACGAAATGTCGCGTTAGAAACTAACAAAATTGAGCTGTGAAAATAGTAAAATACTGACGATGATAGCAAACAATCACTAGTATGTGGCCCTAAAACGCATTCGAAATTGACAACGAGAAGGTCAACGATGGTTTTGTGTCGGAAGTCACGGTTACAAGATGACGCATAAAATTGAGTTAACGTATGTAGACTCGCAATTTGAATCTCAACATAACGAAAAGATCGATGGTACTAAGGTCAAGGTTAATATTGCCGATCACAATTTGTGCCTCGTTGCGCCAATAACCTTCGGTTTCTTCATATGTCGTTGAGATTATCTCGCATTACGAACGTTTTCGGTGCCAAACTGTACGTTTTAGATCTAACTGCATATCGAGTTAAGGTATCATAATTCATTCAAATCTATCTAAAAAAGAAAGAATAAAATCGACATTTAAACGAAGGCAGGAAACTTGGAATTAATTGAATATATATTCATTCGCTTTCTGAATACTTTATAAACAGAGATCATTAAGTTTAGATTTCGACGTCAGAAACGCATGAATATGTATGATTTATATATTTCACGAGAATAAAAAACATGACTGTGCTAGTTTAAAGTATTTTACAGTTATTTTATATAATATCGTTAATGTCCCTTTTAAACAATTCAAAACATTTCAAAACGAACAGTTTTAAAAGCTCAATATAGTCTCCAGATGATTAATAATATTGTGCAATATCACATATTATGCAATAATATTGATTATCTAAAAATTGCTTAAGCAATGCCTTTTAAACTTACGATGATCATATCTCTATTGCGCCAAAATTGATTCCAATAAATTATAGTATCAATTTCTACGTTTTATTCAAACTATAAAGCACTGCGGTTATAACAATATATTCGGGCAAATAGTCCAACATATTAATAAATTGGGCCTTTTTATAGAATATTTAGTAATAACTAATTTTTTATAAATAAAAAGAAATAAATAGCTTATAACGTAATATAACCGGAAAGCTATCTCTAAGCTCGTTTGTTTTCTGTCAAACCGATTTATCACCGACTAGTACACATTTCCGCACAGATATACGCGACAAATACTATTCTTCCACAGGTGAAGCCAAACGCTCCTTTACCACAGCAAGGATTTCAGGCGCGACCGCAAGGTCCCCCTCCGTCTCCGAGAAATTCGATAAATAATGGTCCTATAGGCGTACTTCGACCTGGACCACCATTACGGCGATTAGATAGCCGTTCCTCTTTAGGTCCACCGCCAGCCTCGGGTCAATTCGTGCAGCTTAGGCCTTACGGTCCGCCAAGACCACCGGGGGGTTCTTTCCCTCCAAGGTCACCGCAACCCGGCCAGCTGCCTCCACAGAATCCGTTACTACCTCCGAATCAACGTTTTGTGTATTCCCCGGGGATTCGAGGTCCCCCGCCACAAGGAGCAGGAGGTCAAAGGCCACCCTTCGTCGTTAACCAACAGGCATATCAAGCGCAGCAACAGCAGCAGCAGCAGCAGCGAGGTGGCAACGATCCACGATTTCAACGACCGGACGTCGCACCTTCACAAAACGAACCGCGACGACCTAGCCAAGAATCCATTTTCCCACGACAGTTATTGAGAAATGACTCGTCGGTAAGCCTGCAGCGACAGCACCTTTTGTCAAACGAGGAAATCAAGCAACCGACACGACCACGTATTGTTATTGAAAAGATGGCGGACATCAATGAGACAGGCGCTGATAAACCGGAGGGCTACCTGCAGAGAAAGAAATCCGATGTTCGCGAAAATGGCGAGAACGACGACGACGATGACGTCGTGATGGATAATAACAAGTCGCCGCGACTCTATGGCAATGGTACTTCTGAGGAATTGATGAATGGTTCCAAATCGCCCTTAATCCCGAGAAAACTCGAAGATGTTAGTAGACCCGCGAGCCGACCTGGAACAGCTACTACTGAAAGTAAGGTGGAGCAAATGGATGATAAACAAAACATACCCTCAAAACCAAGTTCTGCTAACATCGATCATACGGCAACGTTTAGTTCTCAAAGTAGACCATCTTCCGCAGTAAATGACAAAGTAGAAAAAAAGGAGGGACAACTCGCTGGTGTACTGTCAAAAGAGATTAACGTTGCATCCGAGGAAATAAAAAAATCCAGCAGTCCGTATAATGACGATGCACAAAATGTCGAACAGAGCTTGAAGACTCCTTCGAAATCTTCGGACAATTCGCGATCTGCTACTCCATCTTATCTAGACACTCCTCATAACGCGGAACAGAACAGAAGTCCGGATAAATCGCGTTCCAGCACTCCAGCTCGACTGGAGCCACCTAGAAACGCGGAACAAGGACCAAAGACTCCAGTTAAGTCTCCGGATAAGTCGCGTTCGAGCACTCCAGCCGGCCTGGAATCATCCGGAAACGCAGAACTGGAATCGAGAACACCGGAGTCGAAGTCGCCAGATAAATCGCGTGCGAGTACCCCGGCTTCGCAGTTGGCGTCATCTCCGAATGCGGAGAGAGAGCCGGAAGCCGCGACGAAAACGCCCAACAAATCACGTTCGAGCACACCTCAGGCTCGAATAGACTCGAGTAACATCGAGACAGACAAATCCGCCGAGAATCCACACCGCGACAAATCCGCCGAGAGTATTTTGCGGGTGAAAGAGTCCAGTAGACCAGCGTCATCGTTGAGTTCGACGAGCGAGAAAGGCAGCAAATCGCCGAAGTCTCCGAGGCCACCCGCGACACCAGGGAATCGAGACAAACTGTCAGGATCAGTTTCACCCGAAGAAGTAAAGGGCTATGATAACGGACAGCCGAGAATGCTGTCTTCCAGTCGTAGCCCGCGATTACCGAAATCACCTGTCGATAGCGGGAAACAAGACGAGAAAAAGAAAACGTCCTTCGTCGAAGACTCAGTTATCGATGAAAAAGCGAACAAAACTTCAGCAGCGATGTCAAAGCCCACCACTCTCACAGTTAAAAGTCCAACATCGGCGAAACCAGACGACGAGAAGAAAGCTGCAGAGAAAAAAGGTCCTTCCGCCTTCATGCGCAAATTGAATAAAAGAAAATGTTTATAATTTCTTTCACAAATGTCAATTTGTTTACATTTGTTTGCTTCTTAAAGATTCAGAACGACTATTTTCTTCCATCCTCTCCAGAAATTTGATATATTATAAGATAATTATAAAACTAATTTCTCAAACACAGAAATTCTATTTCTATTTACAGAATATTTAAAATTAGCTTAGCTCTCTCGTTAAAACAGAATATTTTGAAATTTATTTATAACAAATTGATAATTTTACGAAAAACTACTCCAATTCTATATTCGAGACTGTTGAGACTTTGCTTCGCAGCGATACAATTCTGACGTATGCATATATTTAACTAATCATTACGATGTAATAATATATTGTTCTTTTTTCTCACAGCGGTCCAAAACGGCAGAGCGAGAGAATCGGTTAGCGGGGTAAGTATATATACATCTTAAATTACATTTATATCTGTCTGTTCCTTCTATTTTTATACATCGTAGTATCAATATAATATCTCTTTCCAATATATTAAAATTATTTCAAATAGGCACAGAATACGAATGGAGATGACAAAAGATCGAACGCAGGATCGCCTACGAAATCCACTAAATCATTACCGAAAACTCCTGACACACCTACTTCGACCGCTCAAGATAAAAAGAGTAAGTATTTCTTGTTCTATATTAATTTAAAAACAGGTTAATCTATACTTTGCATAAACAAAGTCTGACATATACTATCAACGCTAAGGCATTTGATGATTATCCTAATATCATAAAAGTTAGTGTTCGTTTCATATAAATATAATTGCATCTTTTTTACATTGCTGAGAAATCGGACTGAATGCCATAGAAAAAATTAGAGTAAGGACAATGTTTAAAAAGTTCATATTACATTAATGTAACTTGCGTCCAAACGATCTTGATTTTGAATCCTGCAGAATTGCCGATGAATAAAGTTCAAGTTGGCGCTGCACCCTCCCCGAATCTGAAGACTGTACGATCGAAGATCGGTTCTCTAGACAATGCAAGTTACAAACCGGGCGGTGGTAAAGTAAAAATTGAAAACAGGAAGCTCGACTTCAGCAAAGCGCAACCGAAGATCGCCGCGAAGAACGAGAAGTATGCGCCCAGTGGAGGCGACAAGAAGGTTGATCCCTTTCGATCTCGTATTAAATTAAGCATCTAATTGCCGATATATGTAAAAACAAATAATTTCCACATTTCTTACGCCCATTTCTGCCAATTAATTTAATTTTAATCTCGGTTTAACTTATTTTTCATTTTTTTCTAGTTTTAAGAATTAGATAAAGATAAAAGAAGAGAATAAGTTAAACCAATATTAATTTACATTAGAAGAAACGGGCATTAGAGAATATCTTTCTTTTCCTTTCCGATTTTCGTTAGATATAATAAAAAATAGTATAAAAAACAGAATTGATGATTTACTTCGATGGATTTGAATTTCAAAGCTTTAGCATTAAAATCTTCAAAAAATCAAAAAATTATACAATTATTAATTTAATATGTTATAGTTAATAGTAATGAACATATTTTCATAATAAAATATACAACTATATTTACGAATATATATATTTTACAAATATATTTTTATTTTCTTTCTTTCTATTTTTCTATTCGCACAAATTTTTCAAAACTTTAAAGTTTCGAAGGCACCTTCAACAATTCGAAGGTAACTTCGAAGATTCGAATTCTTTCGAAGCTTCGAGGTTATCAAAGTAACAGCCCTAATCAAAAGTAAAATTGAAGAGCGAACACGCATTATAGATATCACGAAATTACAGATTTCTCAAGTGAAACTTCAGTGGAATGCCAAGTCCAAAATAGGCTCTTTGGAGAACGCAACTTACAAACCAGGAGGTGGTGACAAGAAAATCGAAACGGTAAAACTCGACTTCAAGGACAAAGCAAAATCAAAAGTCGGATCCAAAGACAATGCGAAGCATATTCCTGGTGGTGGCACCGTCAAGGTGAGATTGGAGTAGACTGTTAGACATCTGTTGTAGTTTAAAACCAGTTTTATTATAAGCCAGTTATATCAATTTTTTAGCATATTAATCAATTTTTTACTTTTTAATGTTCTTGCAAATATTGAGATTCCCAATTAATCGAAATCCTTAGTTCAAATATTAAGTATCATTGTTTTTAATTCTAATGATGCTTTAATTAATATTAGCACGTTACATGTCATTCTCTGCATCAAGCAATTAATCCTAAAAAGAAATTTTAATTATCTATTGCATGCATTTATATGTATGCGTTTACATTCACATTTGTATTTGTTAGTACTTTACTTTTGGCATAATCCTAAAGAACGAAGAAGCAATAAAATTATATTATATATTTACTGTTACAAAAAGTCGTTACATAAATTCTCATCTTCACACAAATGATTCACGGATGGCTGATTCGGTGACAGAAGCTTAACTGACATAGAATGCATTACAAATGCAATGCTCGCTTCGTTCATTTTATGTCATAAAAATATCCGAGTAATTACTCAGTATACGCTAGTCCAAATTTCATTGCATGCGGAATGCTGGCATAGGTAGCAAAATATATACGTACATTATATACTCATACATACATATATATATGTATATATACATACGTATATCCCGAACAAAGTTATTTATAGTTTTGAAAGAAGAATGATGATCCAGCAAGAGGGAACAGCTATGTATTTTGACAATTTTAAAGCAAAATTAATAATTCCAAGTTGTATATTACTTTGTGACTTTCAAAGCGATAATTGGAATTATTAATTTTACTTTACAATAGTCCGAAATTTTTAGCGAAAAAAAAAAAACATTTGTTGGTCCGTCCAGAACATCGTTATTTCTGTTAAAACCTGAATCAAAAAACATTATCATTGGAAGCCGCAAAACCCAATTGTGCAGCTAATTCGTACACGCATGTTGTCTATTGTCATTATTAACAAGCCATTGTTATTTCTTGATGTTCAGTCCGCAACTTCGCCAAAGGCACCGCAGGAAACGAAGAATGACGTGAGTATATCATACAGCTAATGAAATAGCGTGCAAATTAGGTATATCATGTGTCGCTTTTTCTCTGTCTTCCTCACTCCGCTCTTTATGGCCTTCGTCGTCTGATCATGACATCATGATTCAAATTAATTTCTTGTACTTCGTTAAAATCGTGAAAGTAAAAATAAGTAGAACTAAACCTTACAAACGAACAACAGTATATATCTTCTACATCGATATTCCCATGCTGGAAATCGCTATTTATAATCAGAATGATAGATCAGCCAGTTTACCTTCACGATTTACGAGATACCAAAATGTGCTTATCATCACTTTGCAATAAAGTGGTAAAGTTCTATCTATATCACCGGATATAGACGTGAGTAAGTAAAATGTACATTGGATGGGAAATTTAAGCATGTATTTATGCATGTTTCTAAATTTATTTAGATTCTAGGTCAATCGTCACTTCTGCTATCGTGTTTATAAATCTAATTTCATTGACGAACGAATATTATAATAAGTATGCTCTATTATCGTCTATTTAATTATGTGAGAAAAACAGGAAGAATCTTTTACTCTTTTAGCTTTTTATTTTCACTTTTCTCTAACTGCTTATTAAATAGGATTTTATTGTCAAATGAATAATATGGTTCTCGTCGTTCATTTTCTTAGATCCCGACGCAAAAAATAGACATCAAGGCCGAAAGCAAGATCGGTTCGTTGGACAACGTGAAGCACAAGCCGGGTGGTGGCGACAAAAAAATTTTCAACGACAGAGATTATCTTCGGCAGACGAGTTCTAACGTTGAGAGCTTGAATGGCAGCGGGTCCCAGGTATATTTCTTTGCAAAGTATGAAAGTCTTGAGAATATAATTTCATCACGGAACTTTATATTACTTCATTACTTCCTTTTTGAGAACTTTTGCGCAGAATTTCTCTGGTCTTTTTTTTTTTACAAAGGAACATAATGAAAAGTTCCAAGCCGACAACATTTCTTCTCGAGATTTTTCGCATTTAATCTGCACCTATGTGCTTAAACACGCGTTGCATGCGTATTCACAATAGCATATATATATACACAGCACATTTAAATACCAGTCCTTATAGATAGATAAATATTTGCCAAAAATATTATATATTAATAATTTTAGAATAATATTCGAAATATTGTATTGGATATCATTTTAAATATTTACTTGAATTCTCTGATAAGACTAGTTTCTGAGATAAAGAAATTATTTATTTGTTAAATATTTTATAATATTTCTGACTGCAAAACTGAGAGAATTCTTTCTCTAAAAAAATTTAACGGAATGAAATAGTACCGTTTGCTAACTATATTGATTTTATGCATATTTTTATATAGTGGAGTACAAATGACGCTTCCTTCTATTTTCTATTTTTCACGTTCTCTATCAATTTGAACTATTTCTACTGGTTGTTACCTTCGCAAAAATGCATCGTGATTACGCAATTGCGGTCTCCATGTAATATCTGTGATATGGATATCACAGATATTAAGGGTCATCAATTCTGCGTTTTAAATTAACCTTTACAGGACGGGAAAGTTACAATTAGTGGCACTGAGTGTCATGCTATGAAGCAGAAATACAATAAAATAATAAATTATAACAAATCTTACTTGAGAAGAAAAACTGCAAGATTTTAAAAATAGACTCCCGCTCTTTAAAGGTTAAACTTAATCGTAATGCAATTGTTTTTATCTCTTTTTAAATTTAATTCGCAAGAAAGGAAAAATTGAAGAAATAATTAATAAATTATAATTAAAATCAATCGATATTGAAGAAGCAAATTCTAAATCAATAATATTACGGATTATGCACAATAATAATCAGGATAAGCCGCATGAAACGAGATAGGAAAATTTGTTTTGTGGGAAAATCTTTTAAAACGTTATCTAAATTATTAAAATAACGTTTAATGGCAACATTGGTGGAATGCTAGCCTGTCTCACAGTCTGAAAAAACGCGCATTAAAACAAGGACTTATTTATTTTACTCATGCAATGCCCATTTATATCAATGTGAGTTAACTTTAATCTGGATTCAACTTATTCTTTATTTTCTTCTAATTTTAAGAACTAGAAAAAGAATAAAGTTAGTTAATCCGAGATTAAAATTAAACTGCATTGATAGAAACGGGCATCAGTCGATTTATTCAGTTCGCAAGGATGCTGCAGGCTTAATCCTGATATCGTGTCTTGTGCCCGCAGAGCCCCGTGCCCTCCGGCGCGATCACCGGCAAGAACGGCCTGCCAGCCTCGGACGAGAACCTGAACCAGGAATGCTAGGTCACGAAAAGTCGGCCGATAGACCCGCTTTAATTATATCATTTGCATATGATTAATCACGTTTATCCATCTACCCCCTTTGGAGGACGAACGAGCGCTGTCCTTGCGCGATCGAGAAAAACATTGAGATGTACGGTGCACGGAACTCCTCGAAAAAAGGAGCACCGCGATCGATATCTCGTCTACGCAAACGATAAAATTTGCGCGACGAACGAATTAAATCAGCGAGGCAGTTATCGCGTTGATTTGTTATCGAAGGCAATGCGAGGTTCTCGAGTACTTTTATTTCGCATTCACAGCGATTTTAGTTATTTTTAAAGAGAGATAAAGCGAATACGTCATCGTGCGTTGCGTGAAAACACCCTTTATTCAAAGACTTACGTAACAGAATTACGTAAATGCGCAAATCATAAAGCATACAAAGGAACCAAAGAACTGAAAAAAAAAAAACATTTTACTTTGTTGCAATATATACCGATAAGGAACGGATTTGAAAAACAATTTCCATGCGCATGAGAGCTCTTTGTCTTTTTAAGAGATAGCTTTTTTATCAAGGGTTCCTATCAAGATACATTTTTGCGATTTTTTAAATCATTATATCGACGAATTTTCATACGCCTTCGCTACGTGAATATTAATATTAATATTTGCGAACTTTTTCAATTTTTGATACGCATTTGTGCCATAATCAACATATATCACGAATTGCAACTTAATTCTTTCATATACGATTTTAATGTTTCAATGCATCATAATAAGGCAAAATCGCTTAAAAAATTAACAATGCGCGCGAAGATGACAAAGCTATCGACAAAGAAGAGAATAAATATAATTATAGATATGTCTTCAAATTTTATTTTGCAAACGACAAGAATGTGTAATTTTTTAAATTTAATTTATAATATTACTAATCATATTCAATTTTGCGAGTGTAAAACTGAGAATTTTATTCTTACTATTTAATTTATCGCTATAGTGTCATATTCGCTTTCGTATCCGTAGAAGATTCCAATGAAAGTACAAAAAATCACACAAACCCGTGCGTCGTTGTAACGTGTGCAGGAAAGACCATCGCGTCCTCTTAGGGGGAATAGACGTTAAACAAACGCGCGTACATTAATTTCCGCATGGGGAAGTCTTAACAGCCGACAATCCCTCGATATCGTGCGTACGTTGCATTTCGCCGGAATTACGGGGTACATACGTCATCCCGAATAGTTAAATCGCGAACGACGATACGTAGTTACCGTTCACGTGAGCAATCTTTGACACGTGGTCGATCTAATGATTTCTGAGGAGACGGAAGACTATAGCAATCTTGATCGACATGTATATGAATCGTAAGGGAGCGTTGCATGAGCTTCAGTTCATTATGGATAACTTAGCTTTTTGCGCCAAGTATGCACGCGTTGCAGCCGTGGCTATGATACAAAAAAAATTCGCGTTGTTGTATCTCATTGTGTGCGTTCCGTTTCACGCATTATATACTCATGATGTATCAGTTTATCCTTGTTGTTCACCGAATATTAAAAAAAGATAAAATGTCTCTCTAAATTCTTTGAAGTGGAATCTCTCTAAATGAAAAATTAGTCAGTCAATGAGTGACTCAATTTTCGATGTTTCAGAATAATTTCGTTATTCAGAATGAGATTCACTCTAAAAGTTTTAGAGAAGATCGCATGCGTGAAACGCAACGCTTTGTCAAAGCTTTATGCGCGGAGTTATCCAGGATATGTTCGGTGCAATGGGGTCGCGAAGGTGGAGAAGAAAGTGCCAGAAGAGCCGTGTAACACGCAGGTGAATCGCGACGTGTTCGCGTGAGACACCCATCAAGTACATTTGGATTAATTAGACAGATTGCGCTTAGACGACAGGACATACGAGATATTCGTGTAAACCTTACTGTAGATACGTAATCAACACATTGCATCCCACGAGTATACATAATATATAAGTATATATATATATATATAAAATATCGGTGGTGCGAAAAAAGAGCCATCGGGAGATGATCAGTGATGGTGAGTGTTTGTCAACGGAAAGGAGAGATCGATGGAGAATGCGTGTGGCTACGCCAAAAATAAAATCTCTCACTTTTACGTCACTACACTATCTTAGGTACCTCGTGCAATTTACACATCGCTAAAAGAAAAAAGGAAGGGAGTGGGGGAGATATGTATAATGCATTATTTACACTGTATTGCTTCCACATAAATTATTAAGAGATAATATGATTCAATTAACGTGCTGCGATATTTCACAGAGACAGAGAATGATAATTAACGTTTAGATCCTCGTAATTGTCACAAGTTACCACTTCATACGAAACGCAATAGTGTAACAACGCGTCCACTGCGCATCTGGATTAGGATCGCTCTGGAGAGACATTGTAATAATATTTTTGTTTTTAAATTTATTCCGTTCTTTGTCTCTCAACACCCGAATGCATCCTCCCCCAATTTTCTTGCTGAGAAAGAAGCGGTTGCGTCTCCTTTATCTCTTCGTAAGAATCTATCTTTATTTATCTTTATAAAAATACATGTAGAACGTAACTATTTAGTCTTATTATATAAACACTAAAAACAAAACGTGCAGCAAAAGATATGTGTGTAACAGTCGTCACGCGATAGGTAACATCCAGGAGCAAGATTCTTTGATTATATTCATTTTAAGGATCCATTAAAATCCGTCTAATCTAATCTATTAAAAAATTTTTAATTTATTAACGTTACGATATAAGAACGATTCTTTAAAAAATAAAAAATTAAAAGTGATGAAAATTTGTACTATTTGTAAATATTAAAATATTTGCTTTCAAATAATTATTGAAATTTCTACTTTCAGAATTAGGCGTTATATTTATCTTCTGTTGGAGAAACAAAATAAAATAAATGTAAATAGATTTTTCGAAATTAGTGTTCTGTTAAAATTAATTTCTTTTTATATATCATGTAAAATAGAATGATGAGATTTAAATATAATATCATTTCAAGCACTAGAAACTCAACTTCGCAGGCCTGTCAGTTAAAAATGAACTACTACTTCGTGCAAGATTTACAATACGGAGATTTATTATCGACCTTAAAACTGATTCCTGTTGCAGTTTAACACGAACGGTACCGACAAACACGAGTAGCTCCTCAGTCCTTCCTTATCGATACCTTTATCTACTTAGAAGTATTTAGAAAATTGCCATTACTTAAAAGGATAATACGCACAGCGTGTACTTCACCCTCACGTACAATTCACTCAAGATCCGCAAAAAGCATCGCTACCATTCACCGCCTGTCAATCAAGGTCAGTTTGCACATATATTATGTAACAAAGGGGTGCATCGAGTTATTAGCTCGCTGTAAGTGATCGATGACGACATTACTAGATGCACCCAAATGTATGACTCATCTTATTCCATCGTTGAGCACATTTATATATAAACGATTGTTGCGATTCCCCCAGATTCGAACTTCCGTGCAGGATGAGCCGAATTCAAAGATCAGAAATGACAACGAGATACCTCAGCCTCAACCGCCACCCTCAACGCCGACCAAGACGCGTGCCGTTGTGTCACCCTCGTCCGTTGTGACACCCCAAGCCGTTAGAAGCGGACTGGCTAGATCTCCGGAAGCCACGACACCCAGAGGGCAACTCATGCAGGAAACGGGGGGTCCAACCCTCGCAAATGGACGCGTATCCAAAACTCCCTCGCCAGATGTGACAAACAGCAAAGGCACACCGAAGGGTTATTCACCGGGGAGATCGCCAACTTCCCCACGTCCACCCAGCAGCTTACGCGTTAGATCCGCCGGTGATAAGTCTTCCCCCGAGACATCTAGAAAAACATCCCCTAGTACACCTAATAGAGCATCCCCCCGTACACCGAGGAAAACTCCATCCCCCAAGGAACTGCGTCTTCCGAAGCTAACATCGTCGCCTGTATTACAAGAAGCAAATCCAGCGGTTGCCGAATCTCATGAAAAAATCACTTTACCGAAATTGATCGAGCATCCATCGTCACAATCCGCCCGAATGGCATACTAGATCGAGCTATCGAATCAAAAATGTGATGAGCTTTTTAGCACTTTAGTACAAAATTTCACAGATTTTCAGGTTTTCTTATTTACGATTGATTTCAAACTGAGCTATTCTCGAATAAATTTAATTAATCAAAACTTAATTCATAGAATCTCACATAAATAAAAACTATCAAATTAATTTTTAAGAATTCATGTATGAAAGAAACCACGATCTTAAGCATTCTGTTTATTTTATAAAAATAAAAATGTAAATTTAATTAGTAACTTAGAAAAAATAACAATAGCAGTCAACAAATTACACTTGCTAAAGCAGACATCTTCTTGTTATTAACTCTAATTCTAAGATAAACTTTTTTTATTTTAGAACTAATTTCAATTAAATTGGCTCAAAAATAAGATAATAATTTGAAAAGAAATGGAACCGGGACTTGTACTCGCAAGCCCTATTTTTCCAATTAATTAACGTTTCTAATTCTGCACCTTCCGTATGTGGAAGATTAGTAGATATGGGAAACGTATTTAAATATAAATGAATCAACATTTATTTTTTTATATTATAAATGATTATATCATTTTACTTTTTTTATTCTTATGACAAAAAAACTGACCGAAATTTTATTATCTTTTTATTACATTTTTTAATAAGTCACGTATTTTTTAAGACTTTTTCAATAGCTTGATTATGAATTAATAATTTATATTTTTTAATACCACGCACAATTTGAAAAAATATATCTAAATAAAAAGATACATGCAATATACTATTGAAAAATATAATTGAAACCCAAATGTCATTGTGCAATGAATGGGAAATGGATGAGGAGGAGGGTATGAAAGATAAATGATATCGACAAATAAAAAATTAATATATACGTAAGATTTATAGTAAAAATATATTTAGCCTATGTCATACTTTTAGATTAATAATATCGAACACACATCTCAGTATAAAGTTACCTCCAAAATGATTTCGCATTTAAATTTTATGTAAAAACCTATAAAAATACAGTAAATTCAATCGGTCGTATAAATCTACATTAGTATTTTTTTGGCAGTGGAGGTGGAACTAATTTGACCTCAGTGAAATAAGGATGAATCAATCCTCTTTTTGCCGTTATCCTCTGATTAGGATCATACGTCAGCATTTTCTAAAAACATAAAAAAAATATAAGTATATACAAAAATGCGCACTTTCGCGAGATAAATGTTAGTTTTTCCTTACTGAAATTAAGTCTTTGGCATCGTCGTCAAAAGTCGGTAAAATGTCGTCTATGTTAGACGCCTCCCATCTTGGGAATCTAGATGTGTAGTCTGGAAGCTGTGACACCCCTGGCCAAATCGTTTCATCTGGTGTACCGAGCATGCGAAATATTCTAAATAACTGATCTATTTCAGAGTCTCCGGGAAACAGAGCTCTCCTGGTTGCCTATAAAGATCGTATTATTTTGCATACACCGCGGTTTCACCAATATTCAATAGACTCAGGTAACTCTCGCGTAATCTTCACACATACCATTTCCGCAAATATACAACCTAGACTCCATATGTCTATCGCACAGATATACAATTTAGTTCCTAGGAGAACCTCTGGTGCGCGATACCAAAGCGTGACAACCTCATGAGTATAAGTGCGAACGGGCACACCGATCATTCTGGCCAATCCGAAATCGGCCAGTTTTATATGACCCTCTCGATCGATCAATAGGTTCTGCGGTTTTAAATCTCTGTGCAATATACAACGGAGATGGCAAAAGGAAATTGCCTTCAGCAATTGGTAGAGGTAGCTCTGTAACACAAACCGTCCCGTTTTTAAAAGAAACACGCACGAATATAGGCATCACGAACGCGATGAAATGCGGCTGAGATCCGCGTTACCTTGACGAGAGCTGGTTCTAGGCCTCCTTTAACAGAGTCTAACAGCTTTTTCAAATCCTGCTGCAGAAATTCAAATACGAGGTACAGATGATTGTCGCCGTCTACGACATCGAACAACTGTATGATGTTTGGATGAGCGAGGTCTTTTAATAACGATATCTCCCTAATAGCGGTAGATGGAACGCCTTCTCTTTCCCTGATATTTAAAGCAATACTATTTAAATAGTCTAAGCAAAATTAAGTGACTGTATCTGACGAATATGCTAAAGAAATATTCATAGAAAGGTTTTCTTCCTTTTTTTTTAACGAAGAAAGTTTATAAATATATCTTACAAACATATACAACATATTAAACATAATACATACTTAAAACATCAAAGTTGCATTCATGGAAAGAATGGTTTTGCTAAAGTATATATATAAAAATTTAGTTACAGACCTTCTCTTAATCTTCTTAATAATATGTAAGCTCAAATTAATTGCTCAAAATTTTTTGCAGTATTACTCACTGTGCTTGAGTTTCCTACATAATTATTGTAATGGTCCAAAAAAGTTATTTTAAAATTTGTGTATCTGTACCTAAATTTTAAGATGCTTTAGCAAAATTGTTCTTTTCGTGTTGGTGGAAGAAGACAAATATAATAATATAATATAAAAGCAGTTCCATTGATTTCTGTATACCCAAAGATAAATGTTACCTTTAATAAAAATGTTATAATTACAGAAGATATATGTATACAATATACATATACAAAGTTTTTATCTCAAAAATAATCCTAACTGAACATATCTTAAATTAATAATTACAGTGTATTAAAAAAAATACCAAATTAAAAACCAGGCGAGCATGGCATAATGGGACAAGCTGAATAATGTGGTGCTACGAAAATTAGTGTAACGTGGCCCCCGCAGATTCAGCTGACCCCAATATGCAGATTGTTAGCAGTGTGTTAGCAGTGTGCACAAGCAAAAGCCCAGCTGATATTGCAGTTCTGCAAATTGATCATTTTTAACATACATAGATAATAGCCGAATTAAAATTTCAAATTAATTTTGTAAAGTCGTGATTAAATCAACAGTGCGCATCTTAATTAAACATTCATATTGGATGCTATTGAATTTATAAGGGTACACCATTAAACAACTAATATCACGCTATTAAATTATTCATATAATTTTACCTCCAAGTAACAAATAGAATTAATAATATGATCCATTTGTCACATTATTAATTTGTCACAAAAACATATAGTAAACGCATACAAATTTTAAAGTGGCAAACATAATTTGTAAAAATAATTCAAATATTCTTGTGCTTACAAGTTTCAACTAGTATTTTTATACAAATATTATTTATATATGGAAAATGTAATTTTGATTAAAATAATATTATATCAAGCATAAAAAAAGAGTAGATATTAATAATATATAGCTATGGGAATTATGTTCCAATAAAAGCTTAATAAAATAATAAGTTATATAAATCTACATATATAAATGATTAAAAATTCTTTATACAATATTTTTTTTCCATTAAAAAGCACAATTGGTTAAATTAAAAGAGTTAGTATAATATTAATGTATTTATTGTGTAATTATATAAATGTATAAATAAAGAGAAAAAGGAAGGAAAAAATACTTTTGCATTGTTCTCTCATGTTATCATTATATGTATATATGTAACAATACAAAAGTAATATAGAGTAAATTTCATGAAAAACAATTGACAATTAACCGAAAAAATTTCCTATTTATATCACTTACATCCACATTCTGCCAAATTTCTAATAGCAAAGATAAACTGAATTGTGCAGGATTTTGTCTTTGAAGATTGTTTTGGAATCTTCAAAGACAAAATCCTGACACAAAATCTGACTATAGAATTTTCTCGAAAACGCTCTTACCAGGATTTAGAACTCTGGCCCGCGTTTATAGAAATTGATATTCTAAACGGTGAAAGAGAAAGAGAAAGGAGAGGAAAAGAGACAGAAGCGATTTGTTTATATTTCTCAGTAAGTTTATGGGACCGAACGTACGTTTCTAGCCGGATTTTCTTGAGCGCCACCAGCTTCCCGGTCAGTTTGTCCCGGGCTTTGTAGACTACCCCGTACGTTCCTTCCCCTATCTTCTCGATTTTCACGAAGTTGTCCATAACCTCAACGTTGCCGCGCTCGTCGTCGCCGCCACCGTGAACTCGGGGACGCCGTTCCTCGGCCAGGGCCGCCGTCGCCGCGCCTTCCCTGACCTTCTCCACGGTCGACGCCGTCGTTGATCCGTTTCTGCGGAGTGTTGTCGATACTTCGGAACGCCGGGAATACGATTAGCTCGTTGTGAGCCGTTTATTGCCGCCTGTTTATCAACACGTTGGAGCTAAGTGCACTCAGCCACAGTGCGCGCCCACAGTGGCCATTTTTATTTTTTAGAAAAGGCGGAAAGAGGAATCGATAGCGCGAATCGATGGACTTGTCCTCGAGATCGATGGTCGTCAACCCGCGTTAAATAATCGACAACACAATGGGGGTGAATGAACTCTGATCTCGCACGCGACATAAATGTAAATAATCCTCATTGAGCAGCCATTAATTATAAAAAAGAATTATTCGCAAGAAATTATATATATATATATATATAATCCTGGAATTATTAATTATATTTTCTTTACATTAACACTATTCAGAAAATTTATTCACATATTTAAGAATTTTTTAACTTTTTTTATATTTACTTCATAAATCACAAGAATAATTAAACTATTTTATTTTAAAGATAGATAAATAATAGATATCAGATTAAATAATAGATTCAATAGTCCGTCATTTGTCTATCGATTATTATACGATTTATTACTAATTATTACTATATATGCAAAGGAACAAAAAATATGTAAGGTTTCTTCCTTTATTTTCCAAACTTTGTTCAACGTATAGAAATTTTTTGTTAAATTTTCTCTCTCTCTCTCTCCACATATATTTAATTTAAAAAATACCTAGGATCAGAAAACAAACAGCACGCACGTAGTCTCGTTATGTAAAAATAAACTTGAACGTTAAACAATCTTATTAAATATTATTTCCAGTAAAATTTTAATAACAAAATGTATATTAAACTTGATTAGTACTTGGATAAAAT